ACGCCACAATCCCTTCTCCTCCATTCTTCTCTCAGGATCTTGGCAAATACATGCACCATCTGGCAATTTAAAAAAAAAAAAAAAAAAGAATCACCACTGGGACCAGCAGGTGGTGTGGTAAAGCACTGGATTACCACATGGCCAACAATGGTTCGAGTCCCAGGCCTGGCAGGTTGCTTTCTCACTTTCTGTCTCTGATAAGCACGTGTGCCTATAGCAAATTAGAATAATAATAATAATTAGGGCCAGCAAGTGCCATGGTAGTTAAGGGCACTGGACTCCCATATGGTTGACCGGGGTTCAAGTCCCGGACCTGGCGGCTTACTGGCTCACTTTCCTTCTCTCTCTTGCTTTCTCTCACTCTGTCCCTCTCTGGCCAAGTTAAAATAAATGAATAAACAAAGCTAAAATAATTATTTAAAGTAATAATCATAATAATTAATCAAATAAAATAAGTAAGTCTAAAAAGAAAAAAAAGGCCCCACCATCACTTGCATTGACCTTGTGTCTCAAACACCTCAAGGAGTGATCTACCCAGCTGGAGGGCGGGGGGCACCTGGAAAACCACCCTTGGAGAAAAGGGTGCAGGTCTGGAGAAATCACCTTTCCGGGCTAGTAGGAATCGGAGGCCTTTGAGCCTAGAGACGAGAAAAAAGTGGGCTGGGCAGCTTGGGATTCCTAAGCCGAAAACGGGTAATGAGGCCCATTCAACCTCACCCAAGGCAGGTTGTTCTCACGTCAATGTTAGATGAAAAAACAAACAGACAGACCATATTGCAAAACAACACATGAAGGTCTTCATTAATTAAAAAAGAAAAAACAAAGGGGCCATCAGGTGGCATGGTAGTTGGGGCACTGGACTCCCACATGGCTGACTGCAATTCAAGTCCCAGACCTGGTGGCCTTTTTCTTTCTTTCTTTTTTTTTTTTTTTTTTTAAAGAGATTTTCGCTATAGGGCAAGTGTACTCACTGGAGAGACAGAGAGACAGAGAGATAGAAAGTGAGAAATCACACCCTAGGGGGGATGGCCACGATGCAATACCTG